GCTACAGAGGACGTTTGATTGCTAATGGAAAAGCAGATGTTAATGTTGGGAGGGTCATATTTTACTTCAAAATGACTCTAGTTGATGATTCTGCACTGAAGCAAGGCATTGATTTCATTGGAATGAGACAGCAGATAGATATGGGAGGGAAAAGTCAGAACAATGAGAGAAAGTTGCAGAAAAGTTTGAGGGAACTGGAAATTTGGTTGCACCATTAGAAGGAAACCATGGCAAAAGGTAATGAATAAAACCTCCTCCTACTGCTCCCTTTATAGAGCTTTGCAAAGGCAGATGTTGGGAGTTCTTTCCCAAACATCTGCCCAAAAAGTTTCAAATGTAGCTTAGAAGAAGAAATAACTTTAAAAAAGAAACACTACTGCTATAATAAGCCTCGTTCAAGGCGGGGTTTTTTTTGTGTTTTTGTTTTTGTTTAAGTATCATAAATAAAAATGGATCAGTCTGAAGAAGGAATACTTTTTATAAAGGAGTTATTTCATTTTATCATGGAAATAAGATTAAAGAAGGCTGGATATTTAAAAAGAAAAAAACTGCACTCCTGATTAAAATCTTACAAACGGTTAAAGATTGCATACATTTGCATTTTTGCCTGTTAGGTTTTAAGACATTTCTAAGGCTACGTTCACACTGCAGCCTGAAGTGACCCAAATTCGCTTTTTTTTTTGCCCATATGCGACCTTGATCTGAACTTTTTATGGCTGTCTGAACAACACAGATCTGATTTTTTCCAATCCGACCCAGGCCACTTGGCTAGGTGGTCCTGAATCCAAGATGAATCTGCCATGGCAACCAACCATGGCAGATAATGATGCAGAGAGCAGTATTTATGTTTAACCATGTGAAAAGATTGAGTTTTTATGGTTGGGAAAGCTCGCTAGATGCGCCCCGGCAATCGCATCCATGTTTACTTCCGTAAACACAGAGCACGCTGGCCTGTGAAGTCATGGCGTCCTCTACTGCGCATGCGGGACACTTGCTCTGTATGACTGCAGTTCACACAGGAGATCACATACAAGTCGCATCCATTTAGAAATGTGAACGGCAACGCAAAAAAAAACTGATTTCACTAAAAAATCAGAACTGAGCATCAAGGCCTGCAGTCTGAACGTAGCCTAAGTAAGGCTTCAAAATGAAAAAAAAAGAAGAAATGGGAACAGGAGCATAAAAGTTCAATAGGCTGTTCATCAGAGAACAAACCCCAAAACCTCATAACCTACTTTGTACTTTACCATTATTATTCACTTCATAAATTGGTTGGCATGATTGATCTCCAATAGGCGAGTAGGAATGTTGCTGCAAACAGTAAAATGGCTTCACTAAGGGCTTCCACTGTCTGGAACTGATGTCCATTTTATAAACCTACCTTGCCATCAATCCCTAAATGTTCTCCACTGTACTAAACAAGCAGGATGGTCCAATCAGATGGGTAATGTGAATCAGAGCATCATCCTACTGAAAAACCCAGTCTTTTCCACACCCTTCACATTTGAGAACCATCTGGATCCTCTGGTTCAGCACCGATGAGATTTCTTTGCATCTACTACTCTTTAAAATTTTTTGTTCCATAAGCCTGAGGATCCCCTTTGAACCTAGCCGAACTTTTTAAGCTATCTCATCACTGAAGTATGTAATGGCTTATGGTTCACAGGGTAAAGAAATGCAAAATGAGCATCTTGCTGCATCCATCCTGAGCCTTGGTTCTGCAGATAATTAATGCAAACATATTCAGAGAAAGTGAACAAAACAGCCTATTTGAGTTAATTTGTTGCTCTCAATAAATCGCCTGCTCACTGCTTTTGGTTGTGCCCATTTCTTCTTTATATATTTTATTTTAAGGCTAATTAGAAACTTAAGAGCCAACAGTGCAAAATTGCTAATTAATGCAATTTTTTAAACTGGTCTTCAGATTTTGATCAGGGATGAAATTTGTAAATCCACAATATTTCTTCGGAGAGGTTGGATAGTATAATTACCTTTCTTTCCCACTTTGAAGAGTTAATACAATTATTATCTCTATAATTAGTAACTAATTAGAACATAATTGACCCTAATTAAAATAGAAAACACAAAGAGTACCTTATAAAACTGTGCCTTTATTTTAAAAGGTTTTTTTAAAAGTATGGAGAACCATGCCATAAATCAGTGTTTTTCAACCCTGTTTCCCAGCTTTCACACACCTTAAATTTATTGAAAATTAACAGGGTTTGCTGAACTGCAATAATCCTAATAATGTGTCTTGAAACAGGGGAAAATCTAAGCCCACTTTTCCACTGCAGGCCTGATTTATTTGTGAAGTCCAATACTTTTGTCTGGTCGTTCACATTTCCACATAGAGCCAACTTGTATATGATCTCCTGTGTGAATGACATTCAACAGCTTAAGTGTCCCCCATGCCTAATAGAGGACGCAATGACGTCCCAAACAAGCGTGCTCTGTGTAAATATGGACAACCTACAACCAGTGCATTAACAACACAATCTTTTTTTAAGATGATTGAAAATAGACTGCTCTCTGCATTAATTCAATTCAGTTTATTTCTATAGCGCCAATTCACAACACATGTCATCTCAAGGCACTTTACAGTTCACAAGATCATCCAGTCAAATTGATTCAAAGTTTTCTATCTAAGGAAAACCAGTTGATTGCATTGACTCATTGACTTGAATGCAATCCCTCACACTAAGCATACCTGTTGCGACAGTGGAGAGGAAAAACTCCCTTTTAACAGGAAGAAACCTCCAGCAGAACCAGGCTCAGTGTGAGCGTTATTGCCCACCATGGTGGTTTTTCTTGCTGCTTTTACATAGAAAGATGCAGAATTGTGACCTTTGTCAAGTATTAATGGCATTCAGGTCGGATGAATGCGACCTGGCCGTTCAGACAAAGGTCGCCGTTGAAAACATAAGATCCATATCAGGTTCAGGACCACACGGCCAAGTAGCCTGGGTCGCATTAGAAAAAAATCAGATCTGTGTTGTTCAGACTATCATGAAAAAGATCCGATACAGGTCGCCTACCAACAAACATCAGGGAATGTCCCACTTATTGCACATTTAAAAAGCACCTTAAACAGCTTCCTAAAAGCTCCCAGTCATGCACTCACTAATTTTATTGTTGTAACGTCATTGATTGAACGTGTGTCTATGTGTTTTGACTGGTATTGTATTATGTGATCTTGTGTTGTTTTGCCTTTAGGATGACAGATGTAAATTAGCAACTATGCTATAATCTGGCTCATTTACAATCTGTACAGAAGTATAAGATTGTTCATTAATGTGCTCTGTCCTGATTAAGTATAAAAAAAATAAAAATACGGGCAAAAAAAATTGAATTTGGGTCACTTCAGGCTGTTGTGGGAACATAGCCTTAAAGATGCAAGGCAGTTTGCCTTGAGAGCCAGGGTTGAAAATTACTGCCATAAAAAATTAAAAATATTAATAAGTGAACACTGTAATGTACTTAAACATAGATTCATCTGAAATTTTCACAGAGATTTGGGGTTTTGTTAAATTAATGCTTTCATTATTTCAAGGTTTTATTCCACATCTCTGTGTATCGCTGTGGGTAACTCACAGTTTGAACACACTCTATTCCGTGGTTAAGTGTCTTTCATCATTTAATATAACCTGCAGTCTTGGCTGTGAAATAGAGAATAAAATGATACCAAAAAAAATCCAAAAATTACATTTAGAGTCTGATAAAGCTGCGCCTGCTACCACCCTCCATCTTTTCCCAGTTCAGAGAGCCCTGTAATTGAAAAGGAGATTCGGCTGGTGTATCCTCACAGATGGTGCATCACATTTCTCTGACAATAATAGGATTGTGAGCCCCACCATTCAATACCTCCCCTCAACCATTGAAGGCTCAAAGCGAGGAGACAAAGTTTCAAAGCGGATCTCGACCTCTTGTGCCTCAGTCTGAGTCAGACCTCACGTGGCACCTTAACTCTGGCCTGGTGGGAGCCAGCTCATCGCTAAGTCACACTCCCAAAGATGTGTGACCGTTGGAGCTCTTTTACAGAGACGCCGAGGCTCCGAAGGGGAAAAAGTAAACCTTGTAGAAAGCAGGCCCTGGTTGCATATGAAGCCATTTTTAGGTGTGTAAGTAGCTGCCATCTTGAAGCCATTTGGATTAAACAGCTGAATCACATTGGATTGTTAGAGTTAATGTAAAATATTTAAAGAGACATTATGTACATTTTTACAGAAAAGTATCTTATTATAGCATCTATCTATAAATATCCTTATTATTTGATGCTTTACAGTTCACAAGATCATCCAGTCAAATTGATTCAAAGTTTTCTATCTAAGGAAAACCAGTTGATTGCATTGACTCATTGACTTGAATGCAATCCCTCACACTAAGCATACCTGTTGCGACAGTGGAGAGGAAAAACTCCCTTTTAACAGGAAGAAACCTCCAGCAGAACCAGGCTGCGACATCAAGTGCGTCTGCGTTTGAAGTGTCCGACCTAGCAGACAATGGAAGAGCTATAGTCAGGTGGAATTTTGTGGATAATATGAAGCGACTGATATCCAGCTCAACTCACACCAGGGCTCGATGTTAACCATCGCCCGATCTCCCGGGGCAAGTAGTTTTTATTGTTGGGAGAGTACAAATTTCATTGTATTTGCCCGCCGGGAAAGTGCAATGATCACTCAAAATTACTTTAAAATCACCAACATTCGATGAAAACACCCAGAAGCATTGGCGGCGCCATTTTTGTTGTTTTGTTCACAGCTCCCTGCTCCTTCCTGCAGTAAAAATCTCTTCCTGCTGCAGAGAGAGTGCGCTGTTACCAACAACGTTATTATGTAACGCCATTACTCGAAAACGATGTGCATGAGTGGTGAAAACTAACAGCAGTTGACCCTAAACACACCGTCCCCGTTATGAAAGAACTGTGCTGTGGTAAGGATTGTCTGCAGCAGGAGCAGGGAAGCTAGACATTCCCCATTCAGTGTTACCAAAGCCAAGCTTACCCATTAGGTAGGTGACTATCTTGCACATGGTTGCCCCGAATATGAAGTTCTCCAGGATGTTTGGGATGAGCGTGAAGGGCATGCAGAAGATGGCCATCATCAGGTCGCTGACCGCCAACGACAGCAGGAAGGAGTTGGTGACGGTCCGCATGCGCTTGTTCAGCGTCAGGACCACGATGATCAGCAGGTTGCCGAATACGCTGAGCAAGAAGATGAGGGAGTAGAGCAGGATGCGAAAGGAATCCATCTCTGGTGGAGACAAATACAGAGAGACATCATCGTGAGAGTGTTATCTGCTTGTTTCATTGCAAAGATTTCTCTTATAGCAAGACAAGAAATAAAAACAAACGGAAGAGCATGTAAAGTAGAGATATGTAGATTAATAAAACTAGTCTTGTAAGAATACTGTTCATGCAGTGGTTTATTTAAGTAATAAAACATTATATAATACAATTCAATGATAGGAGAAATAAAAATCCAATCACATCTGAGAGTCCCAGACAGAACAAACCAGGCAACCGCAATAGTTCTGTTGCATAAACATGAAAGTCTTACAGGATGCGATAATCTGGCAATAACAGCACTTCATATTGTGCCAGAGCTAATGTGTCCCAGCTTTCCCTGAGAGCCAAGTAATAATTGTAATGATCTTCTAAAATAAGGACAAATAGCATCATCATGTTAGAGCAGAGTGTGACAGAGTGCACTTGGGGAAAACAGGATGAAAATCACAGAGATCATTTAAATTTATCCTAGAAAGAGACTGAAATCTGGAGGCGTTTAAAAGTAAAAGAATGACTGGGAGACGGAGAAAGGTAATTTTATTAAGCTTTTTGTTATTTAATGTTTATTTATAAAGGTACTCATTGAGATCTAAGATCTAATTTTAAGAGACCCCATTTAATAGAATAAAAACTGCAGCAAAAAACAATATTTAGTAGCAATACAAGAAATAAAAATACTCTCTTAGATGAATAAGATAATTAAAATATGACTTGAAATCCATAACCTTGTTCAGATTCGATATAATCCATATAAATCAATTTTTCTCTTTCTACTTGTAGAATAACGCTGCAAAAATCTCAGACTGTGTTCTCATAAATCTGTAAGTGTAGAGTTATCAAAATGAGGTTTAATCAATCATGCTTTAGTTTAGCAATTAAGCTTATTTTGCCACCATTTAAAGTACCCAGATTTAGTTTTTTTTCCCCTGCCTTTGAAAATGAGTTAAACTTAACTTACCAGACACTTTGTGACATCAACACCTCAGGAGAAATATTTCTCTTTAACCCTTTAAAGCCCGATCCAAGAATAAAACAAAACAGAAAATTACTTCTTTTTTTTTGCTTTGAATTCCTTATTTGGCCTTTTAACACAATATGTAAAAAGAAAAAACAGAAATACATTTTTGATATTAATAATTTATTACTATGCGATAAGTCAAGATTATTTTTTGTGTAGTCTTCTGCCCTCTGTTATCAGGTATATCTGATTGTGTACAGTAGGATTTTGAGCAAAGTTTTTACCATTAAATTATGCAAAAGGTGTCAGACGCAAAACATTTCAGAAACCGTATGTATCAAATATGATACATTTGGCATTATAGGGTTAAGGAGAAATATTCAAATGTTTTAGGAATCAAACACATACTATCTACATGATCGGGATGTTCAACAGGTATCTTCCAAGTTCAAGCCTAGCATCAAGTATTGGAGGGGAAAGTCATAGTTGAGTCCCAATAATGCCTGACTATAACCATGTTAAATAATTAAAAAATTCTATGGATAATTAAAATTGAGTTTTTACTCAACTATCTGCATCTTTATGCACGCTGATCGTTTATTTGTTATTGAAGGAGAAACCTGGTAAATGATCAGTAGTAGACGCTTTAAAACGTCTTAAAACCCCCCTAATTTGAAGTAATCCTCGGCCGTTTTGCATACCCAAATGGAAAAGCAAATAACTGAGGAACTGCAAGCCCAAATTACATGTGTGATACATTATTTGAAAGCTAACACCTTCTAATTTGTGAATATATACATGAAAATTGGGTGAGTAAAACACAACCCAAGCTGCATTGGTTCAAACATAACTCAAATTTGTTGTTTTTTACTCTCAAAAAATAATAGGTCTTTTTTGAACAGCAGTTATAAAGACATGCTTGCTTGTTGTGGCTGCTTTGTCATGGAACATTTTGATGTGCTACTTTATCTGTTTTAATTGTCTTTGGTGTTCACTATGTCCATAAAATGAACTAAGCGATTGAATTGTGGAGAATCTAAGCGTTCCAATGATGTCTAACATGTCTATATTGGTAAAAAATGCTACCTGTGTAATTTTCATGCATTCTGAGTCATTATTTGACACTTTGAAACGGTGGGTTTTGAGAGGTTAAATGTGTGATACATCATTTGAAAGCTAACACCTTCTAGTTTCTGAAAATATAAATGAAAATAGTCAAATTTAGATTTAATAATAGACACAGATAATAGACACTTGTGGACGTCTTTAACTGTATTTTGTTGTGGCTGTTTTGTAATGTTTACATTTTGACATGCTGTTATATCTAATTGTGCATTGCTGCTCGCTGTCTCCATAAAATTAACTTGGTAGTTGAATTGTGGAGAATCTAAGCTTTCCAACGACGTCTAACATGTCTATATTGATAAAAAATTTTACTGATGTAATTTTCATGCATTTTGGGTTATTAGTTGTAAACGCTATAAAAACTATGGAAGCAAATCGTTACCATATTTCAAATGAAAAAGCACTTTCAGAAATGCTTTTTCATTTTAAGAATGTGGCTGCATTGTTGACTCATAAATGAAATTAGTACCGTATTTTCACGACCATAAGGCGCACCGGACTAAAAGGCGCACTCTCAGTTATGTGTCCCATTTCTGTATTTAACACACACATAAGGCGCACCGGACTATAGGGCGCGTTTTTTATATACAGGTACAAGTCCTCTACTACCTTTAAATACCTCTACTGCGTATTTAAAAATACAGCGGGGGCAAAACTGAGTATGACTGTGCTTTATTCATGTATTTATTACAAAGTATTAATCAAACCTGGCAGCTGGCCGTGAGACAGATGACACAGCGCTGTGATCACTCCTAAATTAACTTAAAATCCTGAAACCTGCTGACGGAATATGTTCGCTTTTATTGCCGGTATCCTGGTGCCTGCAGCTAAAATTATTTAGATGAAAAACACCTGCCAGCAGCCGCGGTGAACCCCAGGCTGCCCAGCCTACAGGCTGCTGATGAAGAGATTTCTGCTGTCAGCGCACCGCTGGTATGTGGGGGTCTGAGCGCCTCCGACAGAAATAGATAATCTGGATGAACTGACTGCAATTATGAAGTTTTCAGGTGGACTTTCTCACTTAAAAACATATTAAAACTACTTTATTCCCACTGATCACAGCAAATATAGCTGCAAGATTTAGATTATTTAGATGAAAAACACCTGCCAGCAGCCGCGGTGAACGAAAGGATTTCTCCTGTCGGCGCACCGCTGGTATGTGGGGGTCTGAGCGCATCCGACAGAAATAGATAATCTGGATGAACTGACTGCAATTATTAAGTTTTCAGGTGGACTTTCTCACTTAAAAACATATTTATACTTATTTATTCCCACTGATCACAGCAAATATAGCTGCAAGATTTAGATTATTTAGATGAAAAAACACCTGGCAGCCACCGCGGTGAAGCGGAGGAGACGCGCTCAGAGGCTGCCATTGAATTAAGCTTTCAGGTAGAAAAATAGGAGCAAACCTGAGTATGATTGTGCTTTATTCATGTATTTATTACAAAGTATTAATCAAACCCATCAAAGTCATCATCCTCTGTTATCCTCAGCATTCCTCTGAATAAAACAGCTGCGCTAAATCAGACATGCCAGTTTCCCCTTCTTCGCTGTCAGAGTCACTTTCCGTGCAGCGCAGCTCCTCAGAAATAATGCCGGCTTTTGCGAAAGCTTGAACAACAGAGCCAGCAGACACAGTCCATCTACAATCCATCCGCAAACGGTGGCGTAACTTGCCCGGCGCTGCCTTCCATTTATCCTGAAACTGTGGTCTCAGTCTGTCATCCATCGCTCCCACGCCGCTCGCAGCCTTACTGTGAACGGCCGCTTCAAACCGATGTCGAGCGGTGGAAGTTCCTTTGTCAGACCCCCGGGATAACGGCGAGCACAGCGTTCACCCAGCCTTTTCATTTGCGTTAATATCATATGTCATCAGAGCGCTGTCTGTCTCGCTGCCAGCTCCCAGATCAGCTTCTCTGATTGGTTGATGCGGCGCGTCCAGCAGCAAAACTTCAATTTTTCCATCTGAGCAGCAGCAGCGCGTTGGCGGTGCATCAGATGCTTAAACGCTCCCGACGTGCTGCACCAAAACGCGCTGCGGGACCTTTTGCTGCGCCTATACGCGCGTCAACCATTGACTTTGCATGTAAACTCGCTGCTTCTGCTGCACCTGCTGGGTCCAGTTCACACCGATGTCGAGCGGTTGAACAGCGAGCACAGGGTTAATTTGTTTCCCCATGTTTTTCACATCAGCTGTGAGATGGGCACGCATGGAGTCAGAGATTAATGGTGATGAGTGGGAAAAAAACCCACCTGGTCTCCTTACATTCAGCCACTCTTTCATCATCTCCTCAATGAGGTGGTCTCAAAAGTCGCAGTTACAACACACATAGGGCGCACCGCACCATAGGGCGCACCGCACATTTTGAGGGAAAAAAAAGACGTTTAAGTGCGCCTTATAGTCGTGAAAATACGGACAATCCCCCTGTTTGCTTTTTCCATTTTCTTCTTTAACACTGCTCATCCTTTTACTTAATTAAAATGAAAAAGAAAAAGTCATATGAGATTTATTTTTCAAAATGTAGCCCAGCAAATACATACCAAAATTCAATTTGAAAATGAAAAAGCATTTCCAGATATGATTTTTCATTTTAAGAATGTGGCTGCATTGCTTGACTCATAAATCAAATTAGTAATCAATCATCCTATTTGCATTTGCATTCTCTTCTTTAAGACTGTTCATTTTATGCCATAAACAAAGAGAAAACACAGCGGACATTGCTTTTTCGTTTTCGTGGTCTGCCTGCAAAGTACTGTCCATAACTCGAAATGAAAAAAGCATCCTGAGCGGCGGGCGCAGCAGAGTGATGTCAGCATCCGCTCTTCCTCAGGTCCTTGCTGATGCGTGACGTCTGCATTGTAATGCAATGCAGATTTGC